AAATCTATGTCAACTCAGAAGAAGATAGAAGAAGAAGAAGAAGAATGAGAAGAAGAAGAAGAAGAAGAAGAAGAAGAAGAAGAATGAGAAGAAGAAGAAAACTGACCGACATGGACGATGGCTAGATCTGCAGGGGAGAAGAGGAGTGCAGTGGAGATATCAGTGGCATGCGATGGAGATAGTGGCGGCTTCCAGTGAAGTCGATAGAGCTGCACGGAGAGGAAGAGATATGATGATGCGGAGAAGACAAGATGCAGAGAAGATTGTGGAGAAGATGAGATGCAGAGAAAAGGAGATTCACGCAGAGAAGATGAGATGCGTAGATGTGCATCGATCGATCCATTTGATTTAGAAGCGTAGGGGAGATAGAAAAGTAACTAGGTGCAGGGGTAAAAATGGGATGGTATTTTTTATGTTTCATAATAGGAGCAAGTTGGTCCTATTTGGGGAAAAAAACATAAGAGGTCCTATTTTTGAATTTTACTCTAGTTTTACTTCTATTTGAGGTAATTTCTATTTAACTTATACAATGTTAAGAACTGAAATTCTATCCTAAATGGTCAACTTGATATACCACCCGGGTGATCAGATTAATTAGTCTACGCCACGCCTCTTATTTGACTAATGACTAATTGAGTATACATATAATAAATAGTATCTACGTGTATATATAATTATATATACTTATTCTTTACTTATATACTCGGTATTCGGCATGAATAGTAAATCCAATGGAAAAAACTAAGATACGTAGAGTATATTTTTTAATGAAAAATTTTTTGATCATAAAAAAGCGGCCATTATATTAATATCGAGAACGCATACAAGACAATCTTCAAACAGAATTTACTGATCCAATCGTGAACCCTAGGAGTAGACTTAGAGTCAGCCACCTCATACAAAGCAACATGACTCGCTAAACCTGAAATGAGCAAATTTAGGCCTAAAACGATCGGAACCGAAACCTGCCTATCAAAAGAACTCCAAAAATCCAAACATTCAAACCAAATCTACTCGGACTGAAACAGAAACAAGTGCTACTAAAGAGAAAATAATACTAAAATAAAATCTTGTCAGAAAGCTCTTCCTGGTATGGAGGTGGTTCCAGAGGAGGTCCGGAGGACGAACTCTTACAATATCGGTAAAGACCAACTCCACCCGCGGAATGGCCGACCAAGGCTTCACGATCCAGTCTCGATACAATCTCTCAGCCGCACATCGTTCATCTGCCAACGTTATCTTCTCAGACGTGATTGCAATCTCAAGCGTTAGAACAATTGAAATAAGTATAATCTGCCGCTCCAACCCCATATTGACAGGGGCGGCGGAAAATCTCAACCCCTACAAAGAGGGGAGACGATCGCTAGGGTTTCTCTCTACTTTTAATGAAAAATTTAATTAGGAGAAAATTGTCTTTGATATCATATTAATACGGAGTATATAGTACAATTTTCTTTTAAAAGTCCAAGTAAGAAATAGTTCATTGTCTCAGAATGTTTACGGTATATCCGAACTAATAAGTATACATGGTACATTTCTATATGGCAAAATGAGCATTTTTAAATCTAAAATGAGCAATCAAAAAACAGATACTTTATTGACAATTTGTGTTAATTGATAACATTGGCATAATTTTCTCATGGTCATATACGTCTAGTAATTATTCTATAGAAAAGGATGACTCACGTCTCACAATCCCAATGGCTCTCGTGATGCATTGAATGAAGATGTAAATTAAGCTTTAATCATATATTCAGATTGAAAGATAATGTGATCAAGGTTTCAACCATAATTTTTTCTTATAATTTAACCAAATATTTGTCTGTTTGACTCTTTCTACTAAGTGAGCTACGCCATGTCTACTAAGATCGCTAACATTCCTTATTCTATAAATGTAGAATGGAGTAATCTAATACGTATATATGAACTCATTTGGATTTACAAATGATGGCACGCCAATGGATCGGATTTGCTAAATTCAACTTGTCCAACTAATATTCTAATAATTAATGAGATTTTTTCAAACTTAAACGCTACTGTTTGCGAGATAAAGAGTCGTCTTAGCACACGGATCCGGCCCCACCCATCTCTGAGTGGTCCAAAATGCATTAAACTTCTTTCGGGAGACTGTTGACTAAAAAATCAAACATTGACAAGTATTTAAAACACATTTCAGAAAAGAAAAGGAGAAGCTAGGCTACATCGTAGAATTTCTGTTCAAAGTATAGTGCCGTGTTGCATATAAAGCCGCGTTTTCTTTACTTCCCTCATCTTTATTCTTTGAAATATAATACTCTCCAATACATTTCCTTATATATATAATCACGTCTATATATTATCATACTAATACAATAGTCTCTCCCAAGTTCTTTTGAAAAGAGAGATGAGGAAAATGAACCAAGTAGAGATACCCCAATATTTCTTATGTCCCATCTCTCTTCAAATCATGAAAGATCCCGTGATCGCCGTGACGGGTATCACGTATGACAGGGAAAGCATCGAGAAGTGGTTGTCAACGGCGGAGCAAGCGAGTTGCCCCGTGACGAAGCAACCATTGGTTAGGGATGCTGAGCTCACCCCTAACCACATGCTCCGCCGTCTGATCCAGGATTGGTGCACCTCAAACCCGGAGAAAGGGATTGATCGGATTCCGAGTCCGAAAACTCTTACTTGTAGGTCCGAGGTTCTCAAGTTGATCCGTGACTTGAATAGCCCGGAGACGTTCATGGAATCATTGAAGAAAATGGAAGAGCTCGCGAGCGAGGGCGAGAAGACGAATAGGAAGTGCATGGAGGAAGCCGGTGTTGTGAAGTCAATGGTGCTCTTGATAGTGAAGAGGTTTAGGGAAAGGGAAACCCAAGGGCTACAAGAAGCTTTGAAGATCTTTGGGCTTGTTTGTAGTCCATCAAGTGAAGATGTCCCAATAGTGAATGAAAACCATGAAGATCTTATTCAAGTTATATTATGGATTTTGAAAATGAGAAGTCTAAACATGGATGATCATGTAAAGGTCCACGCGATGAACGCCTTAAAGACGATCATAGAGGTCTTGAGTTCAAATCATCTCGAGGGACTAAACCTCGAGTTTTTCAAGGAGATGGTGAGTCTCTTAAGAGCCAAGTCCCTCACACAACAAACCACCAAGGCTTCATTGCATGTGCTAATACAGGCCTCTAAATGTGGAAGAAACAAGCTCAAAATCATCGAAGCTGGAGTCGTTTTCGAGCTGATCGAACTCGAGCTTTGCAATCCCGGGAACAGGATTAGCGAGCTAGTGTTTTGTCTACTAGCTCAGCTATGTTCCATAGCCGACGGGCGCCAACAGTTCTTGAAACACGCGGGGTCGATCGCCGTGGTGTCGAAACGGACACTACGGGTTTCTCCGGCGACTGATGACCGGGCGGTACAGATACTTTCCATGATCTCGAGATGTTCGGCTACCAAAGAGGTAACTGCGGAGATGTTGAGAGTGGGGGCAGTTGCAAAGCTTTGCATGGTTCTTCAAGCAGATTGTGAAGTGCATTTGAAGAAGAAAGCAAGAGAGATATTAAGGTTACACTCTAATGTGTGGAATAACTCTCCTTGTATCCAGTATGCATTGTCAACGACTGCTAGATAGCATACATACCTATGATCAAAGCTTAGAAAACGATTTTTTTAGACTTAATGCGCGCTTGCTGCTCTGCTAATGTATATTAGTCTAAATTGAGATGTTAATTAAGAGAACAAGACTAACGATATGACTAAAAGAGCTAATGGTTCCTAAATATGGCTCATTAGTTTTCATTCCAGAATTAATGATATCTATTGGTATCATGTGATATTTGTTTAAGTAATTGACCTAAATAGGAGTAAAAAAGTACTCCTTAACCCTTTTCCTGAAATAAGAGTTCACCCCTAATCTTCCCTAAATAAGAGTAAACATTAATTTTCTACTCTTAATACTCATATTCTAATTAAATAATTGCTCCCTAATTCTCTTGGGCAACTGGGTAAGTCCACTGGTGATGAGGCATCAAGCGGTGTTGGAGGCGGTGGCAAGAAGCTGAGAAAAAATTCTAGATCTTTTTTCGCACCGCAAGAGCTCCGACGACTAGCGGCGGCAATTGGCAGTGGCGGTGATCCGAGATTAGTGGTGCAAATCTGGATGTTCGTGGCGGGGTCCAGCGGAGCTCCGGCGGTCGAAGGTCGGTGTTGGTATGCGACGGTGGGCAATTGTGGGCTAGGTACGTGTAGGGGCATTTTTGTCCAATCTATAAAAAAAACTCATATTTTGAGAATATTCAAACTACTACTCCTATTTTTGCCTTTTTGTTATGTTTTAGGATAGTTTTACTTGAATTTATTTCACTATCAGACCAGACCAGACCAGACCTCTTTTCTAAAAATCGTTCTGGGCGCCTGACTAGCCCCCGCCTAGGCGGTGGTCGGGCGCCCCGTTTTTCGTCTAGGCGTTCCGACTAATTGGTTTGTCGTCTAAGTAAATTAGTTGGCCGCCTATGGCGCCTAGTTGCATGCCTAGAGCGCCTAATCGGCCGCCCACGACGTCTAGATTCGTCGAAGATTCACTTTTAATATTGATTTTCTAAGCACACATATATTGGCATTCCAAGTTGCTCTTCAATCGTTTCTCGTGGTAAACCTAGCCGCTGAAGAGAGAGGAGTGGCAATGGGGTAATGCTAACCGCTGTCACCTCCTTTTCTCTTCTTTTCTTCTCTTCTTTTAATCTTTTTTAATTCAATTATGAAAAAATGCCTTCTTAATCAGTGTTTTCAAAGTTGATTGATTAAGATGTGCTTGATAGCATACAATTCTTTTTTTAAGAGTGTTGTTTTCCTAGGGCAGCGCCGCTAGGTAGCTTTTCCGAATTCAGTTTCTACAATCGAAGATCGGCTATAGGGTTTTGTCTTCTTCTTGCTTTTTTTTTTACCCCGGAAGGCCAACCACCAAAATCAGTGGGGCAAACGCCAGGGGACGTTTGCCTTATTTTATTGATAAAAGCAGGTAAAAAGATACAAAAGAAGAGGGGGACCAGACCAAAACCTCCGAAAAAATACGAATAAAAAACATAAAAGCCAATGAGGGGGCTATACCTCATCCATTGGAAAAACAACAATTACAATCTAAAATATGGAAAACCAAAATAATCAGTATAGTAATATTTCTAAACAGGGCCGGGGAGCTCCTCCAACCTGGTGAGCATAGTAATCTGACCCAGAATGAGATTTGCCAACGCATGGGCAGCCCAATTACCCTCTCTGACCGTATGACCAAAGCTTATTCCCATTTCGGACAACATAATTCTTCAGCTCATTAACCGATCTATCTCCTTCAACGTTGTCCGCAAACCTGAGCAAGGAAAGAGCTGAGTCTGTTTCAACCTGAAAGTCAACAAGTCCCAGGTTAGTCGCTGCCTTCGTCGCCCACACCATAGCTTGCCATTCCGCTTCTTGACTGGAGTTAGCATTCACCGGGAAGTGAAACGCCCACACGAAGCCTCCTCGTCTGTCTCTACAAATCACACCCCCAGCAGATCTGCCAGGTAAAAAGGAGGCATCAACATTAATTTTAAACTCTCCTGTCGGTATATTCCATCGAACAATCCTTATAATTGATCTCCCAAATCTGAAATTAGGAGCTAGCAATCCTTCTGTAACTAAGAAAGGTTCGATTTTTCTCCTCTTTAACTTAGTGAAATTAGCAGACCATGATTGAGTATGAAATTTAATCTGCGAGATTAAAGCATCGCTCGTCGGAATTGAATGTGATCCCCAAATATGAGAAGAATACGCTTTCCAAATAAACCAACATATAATCCCCGGTAAATTATGTTTGAAAAGGTCACCCATAGTATTAGATCCTGCCTCTAGCCACCAGTTGATGATAATCTGTTTAAACCATTACATTACATAATAAACCCGGGTCAACGTATTTTAAAAACTGTTACCTTTGTGCATGTTACAAACTGTTACATTTGCACACAATCTCTTGTAACGTTTATGGCGTTGTTGTGAGGACCATTACACTTGCTCATAAAATTCGTTACGAGCCGTTACATTAGAGCAAATGCAACGCGAGCGAATGTAACGACGAGAAACTATTACAATAAGTCGAATGTAACAGTATTTTGGACCAAAGGTCACGAAATCAGCTGTTACAAAAGACCCAAAAATGTAGTAGTGATCGAAGGTTGCAGGTGACTGGTTGCGGCTCTGCGGTTCGGTCGGGGTGAAAGTTTGGTGCTGATTTTTGTTTCGGGGTTGGGGCAGAGCGACGAGGTGATTTTGGATCGTGATTTTAATTTGCTCGGGTTATGGACTCCTCTCTTGTGCCACTAGTTTCGATTGGGAAGGTAAGCATGGATTCTGGGTTCATTCGGGCTATAATCATAGGGATTAAGAAGATGTCAGTGAAAATTGTGGTGGTGGGTTTGCAAGGAATGTTTCAAGATGAAGAGTTGATAATCCGCCCCTCCTGAGCCACCGCCGAGGATGATGTTTGAAGCATGGATTCGGTTGCCCTATCAGTTTATTTTATTTATTTTCGTTTTACACCACGGTCAGACTATTATGTTTTGTTTTTACTTCTTTTTCTGCTGTAATAAAACTCTTGCATTATATTTGGGGTTAGAAAGGCCTGCGGTAAGCGTCTTTTGCTTAAATTTGCCCAAATTAGGCCTAGCGAGTTATATTGCTTTGTATAGGGTGATTAATTCAGAGTCTCGGCCAAGGGCGGATGGTTACATGTGGTCTTTTTACGTTCTTGTACCCATGCCGAATGCTATTTTAATGATATAAGCGTCTTACGATAAAAAAAATTTAATTTTCTAAGCAATATACATACTTTAACTTTAACCATGGATATAAAGAAATTGAGTTGTAAATTTAGATAAAACTATATAAGTTTGTATATATACCTAAATTTTATCATTATGTATATTTATAACATAATGAAGTTATTAAGTGATTAGTTATCATGTACTACGTATGATTAAATGTAATAAGTCTATCATTCATGTTTGTTAATGTATATGTATAGATGTATTTTATACACACACAAATACAATATTACTTATCATATTTATGTAAAAATGTAGATAAAAAGGAATTTCTATGTCTCCGACTAGTCCCCGACTAGGCGCCCGCCAAAGCGGCTAGGCGCTAGGCGTTGGGCTGGCGCACGACTAGCGCTTAGCGCCTTTTAGAACATTGGACAAGACTAGTTCTGACCAAACAAGGCTAAATCAATTTGGAACAAATCAAATCAGATAAGACCAGAAAATTTTAGTTCAAATAAAAACATTCTTACAACTAGTTTGGGAAGTATCGCTTGTTTTTTATGCTGTTTTTTCGTCCTTCAATTTAATTATTATTTATATAAAGAAATACTCAAGTTTAACATATATTAGGAATTTGTGAATGTTTTAATAATATACGTAGTCTGTAGATAAATTTCCAGTTATTTAGTAGATCTATGCAGTTAGCTTTTTTGTTTTGAAGTGTCCGTGCGAACACCAAAGTTTAGATTTAGAATCATACTCCGTAGAAGATATCTATAGAACTTATTTTAAATTCATTTACCAATTTTTTGGGTTGTTAAAAAAGATAAGTGTATATTTATACTCCCTCCGTCCTCAAAACTTTATTATTTTCCTTTTTAATCAATTAAATTGTGATTCTTGTAATTTTACTCTCATTTACACAAATTTCAATCACATAGTTTTTATTACTTTATTATATTTCGTACTAATCAAAATTGGTAAAGTTTTGAGAAGCTGATAGAATATTATGAGTTCTATTTTGTTCACCCCCTTCATGGAGGGTGAACATCACCACTCACTTCAACACATGACACTTGGCAAGACTTTTAAATTTTGTAATTGTAATGCCAAGTGTCATGTGTTGGAGGGAGGGGGTGATGTTCACCCTCTATGAAGGGGGTGAACAAAATAGAACTCGAATATTACTGATAACGTCAAAAACCGGAAGTTTAAGTGTCAAATCTCTCACTGAATCTATAAGTAATTATTAGTAATAATACAATGGACTTGTGCAACCGTTACCCTCAATGAACGCCACCATGAGATGATGTTCATTACTATTGTCCATAACACGGATCCTCGCACTGCGATTGCTTCCGTTTTATAGTATTGCGGCATCTGAGAGTGCAAATAGCAAGAGCAATGTTCTAAAAGAGCAATGTTCTAAAAGGCTGTAGGCGCTAGTCGAGCGTCAGTCCAGCGCCTAGCACCTATGCGGCTAGGCGAGTGCCTAGTTGGGGACTAGTCGGAAACATAGAAATTGCATATTGTTTCTATATTTTTGCATAAATATGATAAGTAATATTATATTTTTATGCGTATAAAATACATGTATACATTAACAAACATGAATGATAGAATTATCACATTTAATCATACGTAGTATATGATAACTAATCACTTAACTTCATTATGTTATAAATATAAATAATGATAAAATTTAGGTATATAAACAAACTATATAGTTTTATCTTAATTTACAACTTCATTTCTTTATATCTATGGCTAAAGTTAAAGTACGTATATCGCTTAGAAAATTAAAATTAAAAAGTGAAGTAATGTTTGACGAATCTAGACGGCCTAGGCGGCCGATTAGGCCAGGGGCGGAGCTATGCCCAGGGGTAGGGGGGCCATTGCCCCTCCCAACATTTTAAGTTTTTTATATTAGTATTATTTATTAGTAAAACTTTTGTACTAGCAACTAGCAAGCAATCAACGTTTGAGTATCACGTCAACACCTAATTTGGACTATTTTTTTTGGATGAACACCTAATTTGGACTATAAAGAGTTCAATGAGTGTGTAAAATGTTATAAAATATTTCATTAAATTTTATCTTGTATAAATATTTTGACCCTCAAGTTTTATTAATTTTGGTATGGTAGCAAAAACGCTTTAATTATCTCCCAATTTCTTTATAGTTAATAAGAAAATCTGCATTATCCCGTTGTGCCCATGCTAATTTAGAGGCGTATATATTTAATTATTTTGTCACAAAAATATACTACGTACAGAGTATTACACAGTATTAGATGTGAACCTATACTTCGCCCCCCCTTTCGTCAACGAAGTGTAAACCTAAATAAATTCAGGGGCAGACATTATCGAAACTTTAAGGTAAATAACACACCAATACTTCGCCCCCCCTTTCGTCACATCCTGGCTCCGCCCCTGGATTAGGCGCTCTAGGCGGGCAACTAGGCGTCATAGGCGGCCGACTAATTCACCTAGACGGCAAACCAATTAGTCGGAGCGCCTAGACGAAAATCGGAGCGCCCGACCACCGCCTAGCGCCTAGGTGGAGATTAGTCAGTCGGGTGCCTAGAACAATTTTTAGAACAGAGAGTAAGAGTAAGTCATCTATTAAAAGTAGTAACTGCGAGCTAGCCAAATAGTCTTTTCTAAAATGTTTAATTTTAAATGTAGTTGAGCTATTTTATTCTGTAAGGTCCTACAACATAGATAGACAAATCACTACAAGAAAAGTAACATTCCTTGACACATAAAAGTGTTAGGAAAAGATGGGAAAATGTCAAGATAGTCCTCTTGAGGGAATTGCCAACACATATAAAAAGTGTCAAGAGGAGAGGTGTTAGTAAAAACAATCCTTGACACTCAAGCCCAAGTGTTGATGAATCTTTATAGACCTTTAGTGACACACAATTGATCTAAATCTTGCACAACTTTTGTGTGTCAAGGAAGCTTTAAGATGACACAATTTTGGGTGTCAAGAAAAACCATGTCCAATAAATTTAGTGGATAATATGTTAATAATAATTGTTTCAATTGTCTCATATGTTTCATGTTTGCAATAACAATGTATGATGTAGGATACTAGCTAGAAATTATTTTTATATTGAAACTCACAAATTGAAATACCGTTTAAGTATGTCATTCAAATGTATCTAAAAGACCATTAAAAACCAAGTACATTCAAATTGTATTTTGCAATATTCAAATTGAAATAACTTGTTCATTCAAGATTAACTATATACTAAATCTCTAATTAGCTCCATTGGGTTGATGACTTCCGGTTGAAGATCTATCATGTGTCGGAGAAAGTTCATCAATGGCCTGAAAATATCACCACAAAATAAAGCAAAGTTTATCTCATGATCAATAAATACATTATTCCACCCACACTCAAGTGACAGCTATGTTAGGACTCCTCAAAAACACTTCATTTCTTACCGTTCATCTATCAAGTAACTAGAAAAAAATGAAAAATAAAGAATGCAGCTCACTTAAATTCAATTCCTGAGTAAGCCAAAGTTTTTCTTGTTGAAATTTACACAAAGATGTACGTTTTAGCTCTCTCAATAGACTTCAAAAAAGGAAAAATAATGAATGCAACTCACATAAATTAAAAGAGTTACACGCCCATTGCCTATATTCCGACAATATAAACAATGATCAACATAACAATCTATATTCTTCAGCAACTCTAATTACGAACTTGTAATATTGAGCATGAAAGTAAAGTTCTCAACTGAGACAGTTAGACGTTTTACCATATAAAATTGGAATGTAACAAACTAAATCAGCTTTATTCAAAAACAAACTAAATCAGCTAAGCCACAATCTTATTCACTTACTGAAAATACTACCACCAGTCAGCATGTGCATTAACAAAGTTAAATATGGTCAAAACAACTAAAGATTAGTTGAATGCGTTCATGGAATTTTTAATTTGATAATTGTGTA